CAGAGTGACTCTAGTTGAAGTGACATCAACATCAGCCGACATGTGTTCAAAAATAAGCTGCCCTTGGTGTTGCGCCGAACCGTTGAGTATGAATGTCACCCGGTCCATCCACTGCACTTGAATCATCTTGAATCAACACGAAGCCCACAGCTGCGATCAATATCAATCAATCTGGAACTAGGATCCAAAGCACAAAAAGCGTTTAAGTCACAAAGGGGCGGTTTTTCTCCAATAGGCACCCCTTCTTTGTGACTGCCTGTGGTTTGTTTGTTTCTTTTTTCCGCACTTCTTCCCCAGCTCAGCTCGATTGAGTTTGAAAGATGCGTTCTGTTCTCCTGTGTTGAATTGTGGTTCCTCTCCCGCTTTCTTGGTCAGGTTCATCTGCCCGCCCTTCATCCATCCCAGCTTCGCCCCACCACCCCACCCTCCGCCCTTCAAACTATCCCTAACACCGCCCGAACGCCAAAAAACACCGATCCCCGCCATGGATCCACCCGAACGCGCCTGTTGGATGTGCACGGTGTCTTCATCCACCACGTGCCGCTCGTCCTTGCAGATGCCCTCCCACAGGCGACTCACCACCTGAGTGAACGGCATCTGGGGCATCCTGGTGCATCCGGTGCGAACGAGCGTGTCGGTGAACTCTTGAGGATGGGGATTTCTGGGAATCACTGGAAGGTGGAACCGTGTGATAAAGGCTATGAAGTTCTTCAGGTGGCACAGGAATTCAGGTAGTCCAGGGTGTTTGGACGTGGGGGGTTCGCCATCTGTTCTGGAACTTGGAAGAGCATTCAGTACATGCAGAAAATACGTCTAGCCATCGTTCACCTCGCATGAAATCATCTATTTTTGACCTATACCTATAGTGCCTACAAAAGGGTGGCTGAGTCTAAGGCGCAAGCAAAAAGGCACAACTGCGAACATCAACGAAGCAGTAAAGCCATCCACCAGTCACAAAGGGGTGGTGTTATGTGGTGTTTAGTCCCTATGTGAGTGGATAATGGGCACCCCTAACCTCCATGGATAGCACCCCTTTGTGACTGCTAGATGATACTCCTTTCCAAGCCTTTCGTTCTTGTTCTGAGCCTTAACGAGGCACAGAATTGACGTGTTGACACCTTCTCAGCGGAGTCGCCGGGTGAAATGTGAGGTTCATCTCTTCATGTTGAGGGGATTTGTCCTGTGAGTGCTCCATCCATTTCCAGGTCCAGCTTCCAAATGCTGCTCAGCCACTTCTGGTGCACCTTCCAACACCTGCACTTCGAGCATTGGAAGCTACAGTAAGGCATTGCCCTGTCTTTCGATATGCTTCTTGGGCCCTGGTGATGTCTTTCTCCAAACTTCCCCAACCGTGGCACCAGTACGGGCCAAGTTCTGCATGCATCCAACTGCTGCATCCAAGTGCCAGAATTTAAAGGGCTTGCACATGCTAGAAGCCATCCGTGAGCTGGTTAACCCTAGGGCTCCAACCATCTCCTCGGGAGGTGGTTAGACCCCCCAAACCCACCCACCCCAACCACCTTGGTTGGAGCCCTAGCCTCCATGTCTCTACATGACGCTTTGGCTCCGCCATGCCCTTTCTCTCCACACCATCATGTTGCCTCCCACAATCACAACGGTCCACTCTCCATGAGCTGCCCCAACAGTTGAAGCTCACAGGGTGCCATCCAAGCACCCACAGATGCGGATGGCACTGCCTGCTCCCTAGCGGAAAACTGTCTGCCTTTCCGGGCCAGGTTCCACCTCCGATGTTGGGTCGGATGGAAAGTATGTGCCCTGTCGCCCCCCGACCTGCCACACAGACTTCAGCTTGGTGTCATAGCCTCGGGCGGAGGAGGCTAAGTAAGACATGTCCAGCAATGTAAGGACCCATACCTACGTAGATCTCTGTTCATCTATAAATTAAACCAGCCAAAAGGTAGACAGTTTGGAAGATCTAGGGGTTGCCCTTGACATGGCTGGCTGCATTGGGATTGATAAACACCGCTTTGGGGGAGTTGAGCCACGGGTCCTGAGAAATAGGAATCTAAAGTTATACCGCTACAGTCCAACCCGAATTGTTCAAAACCCCCACCGGCTTGCTCGGTTGGTCACGGGCAGAGTCACGGGCAGAGTCAAAGCAATCACGCCCAAGTGACACATATGCCCGGAGACGTTCGCTGTGAGGTTTGCAGCCGTGGACCTGAGGCAATCACGCCGATCAGGGGCGGCTCTTGCAGCCGTGGACCTGGCCTGTGAACCCCTCTCTGCCAAAACCACTTCACATCACCGTTTTACAGTCGCGAACCACCATTTTTTACATGCATCTCTGGATGCTCCACGAAGAATCACCGAACCACCCTAAAACGCCAAGGCCTGAACCAGCGACCCCCCAATCGTTTTTTGGTTGTTCTCGTTCACCACAATGGCTGGTGAACATTCCATGCCCCTTCCCGCCATGAGAGTCCAGTCAACGGTTCTTGACGATGATCGAGAAACTCTACCAGCACCCTCACTGCCAGGTCGTCAATTGAGGGGCCCAGAATTCAGGCCGAACCTCATTGGTGACCTGTTTGTATCGTCGGATCCGATGGCCCGAAGGTCCGGACGATGTTTCGAACAAACCGAAGATCAGAGCACGAGGATCAGGAAGCTTCCAAGCCCTTCTTCACACCCAGCCTGACCCCGCCCCCTCCAACCATCAGCACCACGCTGTCCGCGGATGCGCCGTGCTTCTGCTTCTGGGCGGCTGGTCGACGATGCCGCGGATCGCCGCCAGAGCCGCTTGGGGATCCCCTCGCCTGGGCGGTTTCGGGGGGTGAGTGCAAGTGCGGTGAGGAGGCCGGTGGCCTCACTTTCGTCATGGGAAAAGTGGCCTGAAAGACTCAGACCTGGATTTTCTAGTGAAGAGGCCGGACCAAACATATTGTTGTTCGGTACAGATTATTCAATCAATGGTGGGCCAGGAAGACTAGGGAGAGAGTCAGAGGACCCTGCAAAATGGGACCGGGTTGCGGGGCTCCTCTTCATCTTGGATTCGTTTCATTTCGTTTCACTCCCCTTTAAGGCCAGCGATTCCGATTCCTCCGCTGGTCACCTCACGCCGCTAGGTCACATGGTCGAAGTGTAGGAGATCCTCGTGACCATCTTCGGCTCATCGCAGCGGCACGAGGACCGCGGCGGGCGGCCTTGAGCCACCGCCGCGGCTGAAGCCGCGCCTGCGTGGGCACGACAGCGGATCGAAGCTGCGTCCTTTGGTCCAGCAGGTGGGGTGGTATACCTACTAAAAGCATGTCGAGACAGGTCAACCATCGGCATTCTGAGATGTGTTTACAGAATCTGAGGTGGGTTGGTCATCAGATTCTAATCCCGACCTGAGGTTTCACAACCTCCGACCCTGCAAGCATCATGAAGAGAACGGTCTGACTCGAGTACCTGATTTGGGGAACTTCCTTTACTTTGTTCAGGAATATTATGAAAAATGTAGCCTTTGGACTTCTAGTGTCCTAGATACTGTAATATATATAACTGTAATATCCCATCATTACGATCTGAAACTGCTTGGCATCGTCCCAAAAACAGGGGCCTTCGGCATGCATCTGCAGCCATGCTCACCACCAACCCTGCCAACTAACCGGATCCGGATCGACACTCCCAGCCTCCCACGAATGAGGCAGCGTGGAATCCAAATCGCCGGGCCCAGCACGGAAAGGCAGCCATGGGCCATAGCCAAGTTGAACAGATTAGCAGGAGGGGGGGCACAAGAAGGAGGGGGGTGGTAAAAAAGGTCAGAAGGTGGAGGACAACTGCCACCAATCACATTTGGGGACTCCGATCTGCAATCGCCGCAGAAACTGGTTTCATGTTGTTTCGAAGTTCTTGCCATCTCTTTTCCTTGCCTGAAGCGCTGGGATCTTTTGGAAAATGGGCAAAACTGTGTTTAAACCAAGATGACATGTTTCACTTCGCGGGTTTAAAAACGCCCGCCGAGATCTCGGTCTCGTGCCGTAGCCACCCCCCTCACGAGCGCCAGTGGCGGCGGAAAAGAGCATGAAGCCGGGAAGGCCTTCAAAGACTAGTTTTTAGAATTGGTTGAGCTGGTGTTGTTGTAGTGTAAAGTTGAAGGTACCCCTGTAGGGTCCTATAAGGTCACTTAACCTCTGTAGAAGGGGTGCCCAATGGAAGCCCCTACACCATTAAGGGACCTCCATTGGACACCCCTTGAAGGTCCAGGTATATAAAACAATGTTGGAATTCCGGGTGAAAGATTATAGTCGTTGCAGCGGGACTTTGCCGGGTCTGGTACTACTCGGTGGAAGGAGAACGGAGGAATCCAACCGAACTGGGTGGGAAGGATAGCCCAACATAAACCCCTTGCATCTCTTACATCCTTGTAGACCAGCTGAGGAGACTCTGGGAGAAGTGTTGATTGCATTGTGCCTGGAAGTCCAAGACCATGTTTAAAACGGTTGGTCTGGTTTTGCAGTGCCCAACCCCGGCGCTCGCAGTTTCTGGACTGAACAACAACCTGCTAGCACTGCTAGCTTCATGACACCCCAGCTGCTGACCAGGAAGAACTTGAACGGGATGGTGGAGAGTGGAGATTCCATTGTGAAGGATGCTTCTTGATTGCTAGTTACGCACGTTTCATCTCATAGGCGCATCATTTAAACACCCGGCACCTCTATCTCCGCCCAGGTTCCAAAGATTGCTGAACTTAAACCCTACAAGTCAAAGGGCCAAGTTAAACCTGGTCCTAAACCTCATGTATATAGTACCCGTACACTCCATGTATGCCATATATGCCTACATTGACCCCCCCAAACCACCCCAATGTAGGCATATATGGCAGTCCCATGGAGTCTATGGGGTAGATACTGGCGTCGCCTTTTCCCGCGCCCAGTCGTGCAGTCCTTCAAACCGGGTCATGGGCCGGGATCTAGGACCACTTGGCGCATCGAACGGCAGATCTAGGACCACCCCATCTAGCCGACCCCCCCGCAACCCGAAGGTCGGACCGCCTTGTCCCGGTCCATGAGGCTCCACTCCTCCGAGCCCCACCTGAGTGGACCGAACCGCAGGGTCGAGGCGTGTGGAGCCTGGGGTTCGCTGGGAGGTGCAGGTCGCCAGGCGGGTGAATTCCGTCGACCAGCTGAGGCAATGATGTGAATTCGGTTGGAGCCCTACAGAGGTGAAGTGACCGGGACCATAGGACCCGTCACCAGGAGTACCTATACCCTAGCCTTCCAAGACCATTTAAAACATGGTTGAACTGTTTCTTGGTGTGTGAAGTCCTTAGCTGGTTCGGGATTCAGCCTATTGAATGAATGGTTGTTGGAAGCCTAGGGTATAGGATAGTCTATAGGCTTCTGACCCACCTCTGCTGGAGCGTCTGGGACACCGGAAACCGGTCGACGTGAGGTGGTTTCTTTCGGGAGCTTGGAGCCATCCAGCATCTCGGGGGAACAGGTTCTTTCGGTTTCGTAAGTAGTATGTTCAGAGGACCCATGGGACAGTAAATGGGTGGTGAATGGAGGTCATATTACTTTATAGTCCCAATGAATCCTCTAAGATTGATTCTTCACAAGCGGGGGGACCTCTCCTCTTCGAATTCCACCCAACTGCCGCCCAGGCAGCCGTGGCCGCCCAGGCGGCCAGCTATGGAGTTGTTGCAGGTGGAAGGTAGTTCGGAGCTTCGAGCGTGGAAGTTCACCTGCCTTCCGGAAGAAGACGCTTCTGGCTGGCACAGGAAAAAGAGAAGTTTCTGGAAGTACGAAGTTTCGGGGGCTTGCAATGAATGGCTCGTGCCATCTAGCATCCCCATGTTACCCACATTCTTTCATTTCAAGTCTAGTCTGTATCTGCTCTGAAAAAAGTATAAAAGCTTCATCAACCCTGAACGAATTGACGACCAACAAACACGTTCTGACTTTCTTCTTTGTTGTTCTTCCTGTCTTTCTGCAAGACTCGGAGAACATACCCTACACACGGACGCATCGCACAATTTTTAGACCATCTCTCATGTGGTGGAATGGAGGTGAATGGCAGAAACAAACCACGCATCCCACATTGGACGCACAACCCACTGAAAAACTTCCATGCTACTCCTGGCGTTATCTCCAGTGCTACTCCTAGCTTGCTTTTACACGACCCCCCACTGAGCTTGAGGCCTAGTTCCCAGCCCCCCCTCCACGGCCCCCGGGCCCCAAGTAGGCACACATGTGTCGGCACTCGGCCGCTTCCAAGAAGCCTCCGGCACGGAGAGGTCGTCCAAAACGCGCTGGAGAGCAGGGGGGGGTTCCCAAGCTGCTGGAGCACTTCTGATCTCGATTCTTCAGCAAAACGCATCCAGCTTCGACACTCGGCAGGTAGGGGCGTTCCAGCAATTCCCCACCGGCTCTCGCCTTCAGAGAGACTATATGAAATGGGAACGAGCTGGTTTTGTAATTAGTCTAAAATCTTTAACGTAAGACAATGGTTGATAAAGACAAAATACCAGGACCAGGACCCTCCAACAGGTCTCCTCTGGTGGCTTTTGGAGACTCAAAAAGTCGCAGGTGGTGGCCTGTTGGAGGGCTGGTATAAAACAGCTGTTGGAATCCCAGGGAAAATCTACCAACAAATACGCTAGCACGTGACGTGGCGTTTCACCCAAACTCCCCGTTTTTTATTTAGGGCGGCCAGGCGGCTGGATCTTCTACCCCTCCGCGACGCCCCAAGCGACGTCCAGTACCAGGCTTCGCCTCCTCTACACACCAAGTCCCGCCTGAACCGTCTTTGTCAAAGCGCCAAAAGGCCTCGCCAAGAAGCCCAAGCAGCTGGAGTGCTGGAACGCCCAGGGGTCGGGAGAAGAAACAGAGGTTGAAGGACCCTAGTTCGACTATCCCATAGGATCCCATAGGTACTCCAGTAGGGTCCTAGTTCAGGTCACTGGCTACCTCTCTTGGAAGAAACGACAACAAAAGCCCACCGTCCGCTGTCGACATTGACGGAACCGTTGGGCCCTGTTGGGACGTGTCCGGTGCCCCACACCTTCCGTGGCGCGGTGCCGAACTCCCGGTGGTCCATGCCCCCGGTCGGTGCCCCTCGTGCTGCGGTGGTTCACCCGCAAGTCCCAGGTTCGCCCATGTCCTGAAAGATGCGTCCCACCCAGGCAACTCCCAAGTGACGGAACTTCCTGATCAAATCACTGAAGGCAGTCTCCAAACAAGTGGAGCTGGACATCTCGGAGGTGTTGCTATATCCATTGTTTTATATAATCGTCTGACCCAAAGAACCATTGCTTTACGGATTTTTACACTGTAATCCACCCAGCTCAACCGTTCTTTGAATGGTCGAACTGAAGGCTAGGGGACTGATACACCACCAAGATCCCCCTTTTGTTCAAAGCCCCTGTCCACCCCTCTCCGCCAACACCACTTCACATCAGCGTTTTACCGGAGGTGTTGCTATCTGTGTTGCCAGATATATGGCGAGCTCCGAGGCCCAGCCGTTGGGCGAGGCCTTGGGTCACAAAGAAGGAGGCAGCGCTTCCAGGTCCATTGCAGGGGCCCCCGGGTTTGGCCCTGTTTGAGGGTGGTTCATGGACATCCCTGAACCTCTAAACCCTGCGAGTCAAAGACTATAAGAATGGTCTGACTAGGGGATCTGAGTCTGGGAATTTCCTTGACTTCACTCAGGGAAAGTATAGTCTTTGGACTTCCAGGATCTAAAGGCCAGGAGCTATAACTGCAACGTGGCCCAAGTCAGGCTCCGACCAGTCGGTTCCGAACCCCGCCAAGGTGGTGATCCACCGCGTGAACTACCTGGTCCTCTTGCACGTCAGGTTGGACTGACTGAAGATGTAGCCATTGAACCCCCCCCCAATCTCTCCCACCGGCCTTTCCCATCCTCCTCCGCGCGGCGTGATTCAAAACGCCTCTTCGATCGTCCTCCGGTTCTCTCGCGCGCGCGCGCGCTTGCGCGCGCACGACATCGGCCTCGGTGATCTGCTGAATGTCCTCAGCACGGCCGGGCGACAGCGTCTGCCGGTCGGCGGGAGCCTCCGGGAGGAGGAACTTAGAACTTGGAAGCTAAGAAGACATAAGGAGACTAATGGGAACTATAGAGTAATATCCCATTCCCTGTAAGAGTGGGATGATGATGGTTAGTACACGCCTGGTTCAAAAATAGTGATGATTGTTTACTGACTGCTGCAGGCAAGTTCGGACAGATCCAATATAAATGTACATAGGATACTGATGACTCCATGTCCGGTTCCATCCACCTAAAACTCCCCCAAAGGATCCTCAAGGCTCAAATCTTCCTCTCGGATCCATAAAGCTGCCATCCCCTCCGTTCTGCCACCGCCGAAGCCCATTTTCCTTCTCGACTTTCAGCCCGGGTCAGGTTGACGTCGACGTCTGCCCCGTCTCGCGACGTCGCGTCAGACGTCTCGCGCGGACACCTGCGGCGGCGACATCTGGCGACGTCTGGCCACTGCGTCCTCATGCGTCGGAAACGCACCTTGGACCGGCGGTCAGTGGTCAGGTTGCAGGATGGAACGCAGCAAAGAACGGGTGGGAACACCTGGCTTTTCCCAGGCCCAAGGAGTTTCAGGGTGAGGACACCTTGGGCACCTAATAAACCAGGCAGGAGCTTCTTCATGCTTGCTTTGCGTGTGTAATTTGTCTCACCCAGTCAATGGTCAGACTCGATGAATGTTGAACATTAAAGGCAGTTGCAGTGCACCAGTCCCAATCAGCATTTGCTTCGGGCTTGTGCCCCAAACCGAGCCCATTTGCCCCAACCCACGCAGGGGGAAACCACCCAAATCCTGCACCCTCGGCCAGGCGCCGATTGCCCAGCGCCATGCTCGAACACCCTGCGTGAAGAAGGCACAGCACACCGCGACACAGCACATCGCCATGGGGATCGTCGAAAATCCCAGCGCGGCGTCTTCAACGGAGGTGTCATCCGGGCGAAGGTTGGAGGAAGACGTCGCGGAGCTTTTGGATGAAGCAGAAGATCTGATTGGCCTCGGACGTCGAACCGCCTTCGAACGTCGATGAAAGCCGAGAACGCGGGGCGAGGCGCCGGCCTGGATCGGATGGTGGGGGGTTATGTGAGGGGCATCCGCCAAACTGGCGCGTTGAGGGTGTCCAAACCGGTCGGTAAAGGCAGGGGTACAGGTGCTTTGACAAGTGTCTCGCATCTTGGATTTCCGTAAGGAAACGTCAGAAATAAACCTCTATTCCTATAGAAACAGCCGTTAAGCTGCAACTCCTGTTTTGGGCCGCGAGCTGCGAAGTCAAGGTAACATGACATCCTACTATGTGCAAAGTACAAAATGTACATATTACATGGAGTGAAAATACACCCCCCTCAGCTAAGGTAGCTTTGCTCCCGAAGCTGGACGCGGAAAGTGCACGAGGGCTTGTGCAGGGCACGACAGTGATGTCGGCACAAAGCAGCATGGCAGTTGTGGATGCTAGCTATCCACTGCCTACGTGGCCCTGTACGTGCATTTTAATTATTCACCCTCGCCGCCAAAAGAAATTGAAAGTTTGGACTTGGGAGGAAAACCGCATACATATTGACAATGGATGTCATGCAATGAATTATGCTCGCTCAGGCAAAAGGGTTGAGACTTGGCTCAACTAACGCCAATGCCACTGGCTCCGACTCGAGCTCCAGTCCCACGAGCGGCGGTCCCACTGCCGCTGCTCGCCCCACTCGCTCCAGTTCCATGAGCTCCATCCCCACGAGGACGATGCTGATCCGGATGCGCGTGGGCTCACCGGTGAAGGTGGCGGACCTCCCTTTGCCTTTGAAGCTGGAGTTCCATCACCTCCGGTGGAGGACTTGCGCTTGCCCTTGCTCTGCTGCTGGCGCTGCTCTTGAGTCTGCTTGTTGACCACGTCACGCCTGGCAGCGGAGAGGTTGTCATGGCATAGCTGGCGAATCTCCTCCATTGCGCAGTGTTGACTCATCTGATGCACACCGTCCCAAGCCAAAAGGCCACGATGGGAGTCGGGTGAGTTGATGTACTCGATGTACTCACGCAAGGAGAGGATGTTTGTGCGATAGATCACGCACCATTGCTCAGGAATGTAGTCCATGGCCTGTGGATAGCGGTCGGGCGCTACGTCGATGTAGGCCAGCCGTGCCAGAGAATGATCTTCGTCATATCCAAGGCCCAGGCTGACTTGCGCTTTGTTACGCGGCGGGTTCGCCAAGTGAGCATGGCAAAGCCAATCCTGCCGCTGCGCTGCCCGATGGTCATAGCCCATTTGCTGCATTCGTTCCATGAACTGGACGTCATGCTCGAAGCGATCCTCGATGCTCTGGAAGCCACACTTGTCTGCACGCTTCATCCGGCTGCGAGCGTCTTGGATCATGATCGCTTCTGGGCTCATGTTTCCACGGCCACTTGCAGACACCACACGCAGGTTGAGGCCAGCCTTGATGTAGTCGCTGACTGGGCACTCAGTGCGAGCGAGGCCGGCCCTCGCAAGCTGCTGCTTTCGGAGAACTGAAAGTCTGGTAACAGCTTCCTCCGGCAGCTCGGTGTTGGTGGCAAGTTCGGCTGAACAAATGTCACAGTGGGTCATGCCCCTGAGGACTAGACCCTTGCATTGGCTGCATTCAACCTGGATCACCGTCAACTTGCGTCCCTTTCGAAGTGTTGGGGCGGTGATCGGCGCATCAAAGCCAGGTGGAGGCCCCGCTGGCTCAGGCGGAGCGTACCCGCTGTAAGATGCTGCAGGTTGCTCTTGCTCTGCCACATTCACGATGGAAGTGGGTGGAGTCGAAGGCGCAGCCTTGCTTGCAGGTGCTGATTTGCTGGTTGCAGTCAGGGAAACAGGCATTGCTTTTGCGGTTGGCCGGGGCTCGCCAGTGATGGCGGCCCGGCTCTCACCTCCATCCGCTGGAGCAGCCTCGGGTAGGCCAACGGCGCTTACCCTGGTCCAGAGTGTGGACTGGCTTTCGGTGTTTTCGACGGAGACAATGTATTCTGGAGGTACTGTGTCAACCGTCATGATCCCACCGGAGCGGTTCTGGAAAAAGATGAGACCGCCATCGACTGCTTCCCGAAGTGCAACGGTAAGCTGAATAGGGTGCTTGCCGCGGAGACCGCTTTGATAGTCGGTCTCCGTAATGCGACTTGCAGCCAGGTAGACATGGGCTCGATCGCTGCCAACAAACTCGCCCCCGCCTGGGATAAGGCCCTCCTTGACAATTCGCTTCCAGCACGCTGGCCTCGTGCGGTGGTAGGCCAAGACAGGGATCTCATCCGCTTTGGCAACGGGCTTCCCAATGAAGGGAGCTTTGGCTTCTGGCCTGAGCGCAGGACTGCAGTACATCAGGGCTGCCGATCTGTAATTGTCCTGTGCGCTCTTGATCGCGTGCTTGCTTTGGCCAGCAGCGGCACGCATCTTCAGAGGCCATAGTGCCACGCCCTTCTCCTCGAGTTTGTGCCCTTCTCGAATGCCCAAAAACTCGAATCGGTTTTTCTTGTCTTTTGCTGCTATGGCGATCAAGTCTTTGACGGTGAGCGGCGGGGCACTGCGGTGATTCAGGCCGAAACACCTGGCTACTTCGTCCAAGTCTGCGTAGCCATCTTCGTCAACCTCAAGGCCCAGATATTGGTCATGTTGTCGAACAACTTTGGATAACTGGGTGAGCCAATCCTTGAGGGGTTTCGCGAAGAAAAGGTGCCCGCCATTGAGCTCCCATCCGCTCGCAAAGTGGAGCGGCAATTGCTTGTCGCCAAGCTGGACCACTTGCTGGAAGGCGCCATCGACCTCGGCCATCTTGTACGTGTACTCGTGGTATTGGTCTGCAAGATACTGAGGGCACACAACGTGGCCTTCATCAGCATCAGCTGCCGGCGGCGATGAGGGTGCCTCGGGCTCGGGCTCGCCAGTGATGGCGGCCGAGCCTTCCTCGCCATGAGGTGCGCTTTCTTCTTCATGTTCTTCTGGCACGACCTCCTCATATGGCGATACATCCTCATCATCGTTGGCATCGATGTCGAGCCATGCCGCTGGGTTTTCGCCAGTTTCAACACGATGGCTGAGTTCCTCAAGCGTCTGGAGCCGACCCTCATAGGTTTCTCGGTTGATGTCCAGCTCTGCAGCAATCTTCTCCTGCTCTTCCTCCATGACATCAAGGCGTTGCTGGAGGATCTTTTCTGCCGTGGCGTCATTTGCGACGAAAATCTCCGAAAGGTCTGGATCATCTTCCTCCCCTTCGGGCTCATCATCGATGACGGCCATGTCTGCCTCGGTAATCGGCGCTGCACGGTTTGGCTGCTCCGCAGCGACGTCCTTCTTGGTAAGGGCGCGGGCGGTGAGCTCGGCTGCGGCGATTGCCCTTTTGTGGCGGACATCGGCAAGGTTTCGGAGTAGCTCTTCGTATCGCTGATGTGGAGGGAGGCGATCATCACGAAGCTCAAGTCCACCGAGCGGACGGTTCATCGGACTGGTGGCAGCTACTTCCAATGCGATATCTCCGAGAACATAGAGTCTCATAAGCAGGTGGAATACACTCTGACAAAATGAGAACATATGATTTGCATTCTCGTCCGATTTCTCGCAATGCCATTGGTCACGCAAGTCCATGCGGATGTTGAGGACGTTGATGTTGACTAGGCGGAAGCGACACTTGCCGATCTGAGAACCATACACCTCATCCTGGAACCACTGACTCAGCCGGTTGAACCAGTCGCTGTAGGGTCCTTGCCGCGCGAAGCTGTAGGTCTCAGAATCGGGCGCGCTGATGAGAGCGGCCGAGTGCACACCGTATCGAAACATATCGGCGGCAAACCCGACCAGCTCTTCTTGCGCCTTCTCCTGTAGCTCCATGTAGTGATCGCCGTCAGGATGATCGAAGGGCCATGAAGTCTGGGCTTCAATTCCTTTCTTGCCAATGAGCTCGTTGCCAGCCCATACCACACCAACCAGCAGCATGCAGCCTGGAAACTGGCGCTTGAGGCTCCTCACGGCAATACGGGCTC